AATGATCCAGAATAAATTAAAGAATCAATACCACACTTCAGCAAGCAGGTAAGGCATATGGCATATACACAGCATACATTCACTAGTAGTATGGCTAATATAATGCTTCTACTGAATGAAGGTAATCAATTAATTTCAATTACCAATAAGATTTTTTTTAAATCACACATGCGTTTCTACTTAGCACTAGCAGCATAATTCTTCCCAGCAGATGTATAACCCGGAACAAAACTCCGTTAGTATCTAACGAACGTCATTAATACCATTAAAATAATCGTTTAATTGTAATCGCATGCGCGACATAGTATAAACACTTGTATAAACACATTCACCGATGTAAACAATACTATAGAGATTTCGTTAGAGGCAAAAAGAAAAATATAAGAAGAAATAAAATCTCTGAAGTATACTCTTCTGAAAGTAAAAACTCTTGAAAGATTGTAAACATTCCCAGCTGCATCTGACAGACTAATCACATTATGATGACCCATGAAGAAATGTCATTAAGATTTTACGTGATTTATATTACACCAATATAATATCAAGAGCTAATAATACATATCAGGTATTACACACAACACAGGTATTATTAGCACTTGATTATATACGACCCAACAAGGTTAGAGCGTGCTCAACCTACTATGACAAAATACGATGAAGCATTATTTACGACTTTGCGGCACAGGCTATAGTGTCTCGGCGTGTGTGTATAGTACATAGTTTCTCTTGAGTAAGTAATTTTTTAAGCTTAATTTAATTTTTTGTTTAAATTTCTTCTTTCGAGTAACTTTTCAAGTATCGCAATACGTTTCGTGATGTGAATATTGTATCGTGGTACGTTTCGCGATGTGAAGGCTGAATCGTGATATGGATCGTATAACGAAGACTGTATCGTGATACGGATGGTATTGTGAGATATACCTACTATCGGCCCATCCCTACTTATAAGGCTATTATAATTATATAGACTATATATTCCTACTTGGTGTATATAAGGCACCAGACAGGATGCACGAAACTGAACGTTGAAACGCTAACCCACGCACATTACACATTTGACACGTTGACTCAGACGAGGTTGCACACACACACACACAGTGTACGTATGCCGGGTCCGAAATTAAGGATTGCAAGCTGCAGTGTTGTTGCCAACAAGGGTCAGTTTACAGGGTTCGACATTAGGGGCAGCAAGCAGCAAATTTGCTGCCAACAAGGGTCAGTTTGCCGCCTGCTCTCAACGTGGCAATTATTTGCTGCTAAAAATTCCCAATAAACAATAGTAAAAGCACCAAAGATTCGATCTGGGTGAGTAAAATAATCTACTGCCTACCCTTTTCTCTGGCAGCAAGTACTTGCTGTCTGGTAAAAAAGAACATTTTTAACCCTGCATCACACATAGCCATAGCCGAGACAGGCGATATTGGCTGTATCGTGATAGGGATCATATCGTGAAAGCTGTACATATCGTGTGATACATGTATATCGTATTGTGAAGTCTGTATCGTGATAGGGATTATATCCTGAAGTCTGGATCATGATACGGATCTTATCGTAAAGGCTGTATCGTGATACGTATTATATCGTGAAGGTTGTATCGTGATAGGGATGATACCTTGAAGGCTCTATCGTAATACATGGTTCATACAGAAGGACTGAAATTTTTTCCAAGGACTTTTCAAGGACATTTTATCAGACATTTTATCGGAATTCATACACAGAACAAAACATACCTGGATTAATTTAATAACCCCATTCTTAATCACTGCATGTCACCTCTATAACTTACCTGGATCACATTAATAAACCCTTCTATGCCTCCTCTCTCATCACTACCTGCGAGCCGCACCGCCTCCCGTGCACGTCGTCCTCGTTCAGGTTGCGGTCGGCGAGCGGCTGTCTCTCCGATCGCGCGTCCCCCCGCGCGGCGCCGCCGCCCGCTTCCCCCTAGGTCCGTCCTCGCGACCTCTGACCTCTCGGCGACGTGCAGCCGCAGCGCGTTGACGCGGATCCGACGAGACGCACGACGTCGTCGTGAGAGGCTGCGCTGACGTCGGCGTCGGCGGACAGCGAGGATGCGGTCGCGCGGCGCAGGCCGGCGTCGTCGGCGGCGCCCCTGGCGCGCACGTAGCTGAGCGTGCACGGCCCTCGCCGGCGATCGTGAACCCGAACCCTGTCACGCCTGCGAGCGGGAGAGATGAAGACGTTACGGGGCAACAACTGCAGATGTACATATATATCATATGTATATGTATGTCAAATTTAGTTTGATGTTAGCTTCACAAAATTGTATTACACGCACGCACGCACACACGCACACATGTATACATACATACGTGTATATATATAGCCACTCCATATATATATATATATATAAAGATATATATATATACACATAT